AGAGAACAGAAGGATCATACCAAGCTTGATTTTTGTCCTGAGGGTTTGGCTTGATATTCCTCAGGTTGAGGGGCTCAAGACTACGATGGGACTAAAAATGTGCTTGCATTCCATTTTGTGGTCAGAGATGGTGGGACAGAAATGCTGGTTGCACTCTTATTTGTGGCTAAGGGTTCTACCAAACCACCACCAGCCTCGGGGATGTTACATTGGCCATTAGAAGGAAGCCTTGGCTTGGCCTTCTTTGTGAGGGTCTTTGTTTTGGGGATGCCCCCAAATTTTTGCAGTCTGGTTCTAGCTATAGCATAAATATACTTTTGACCAGCCATGTCTAATTTCTGAAACAATGGGAAGCACTAATTTGATCCTCACCTGTAGCCCCTTAGGCTGCATTTTCCCAAATCGGGCAACTTTTGGCTACGAGTATGTAGTAGGAGCTACTGAGTACTCATTAGCTTGTTGATCTTCTCCTCCCAGAGATGTCACTCTGTCTTTTGTGTCGTTTGTCATAAAATGGAAAAACTGTTAGGCAAGACACAGGCATCTCTACAAGCCCATTGTCTGGGAATATGCACAAGAGGTGAAAGCTGTTGCTAAGGGCATATTGCAAGCCAAAGAGGTTGCAAATTTGGTGGGAACAGGTCAAGCAGTCAAGAGCCGTTGGGGCACTCACCACCTTAAGAAGACTTCCATGATAGGAGAAGTTGGTCACGGAATAGGGTAGACGATGTAGGTCCCCCACCACAATCAAGAAAATGTCTGTGTGACAAGGTACTCTGTAAAAGCACACAAAATCCCCAACTCTGGCACCTTCCACCTAGGTATTAATCTGGCTCCAAGAGATCTAAAGCTTAACTAAAGCTGTTAATGTGCCAGTAAGACAAGGTTTTTTTCTTTTGCCTTGTTCTATGTCTTGAGGACTTGGCTTTGTGACCTTCTGGTCTCTGCCGTCCAGCAGATGAGTGTATCATCATGCATCTTGGTGGCCAGTCAAATAGACTGTGGTTCTGAGAAACACTCTTTTTGTCTGAATGTGTCAGCTCTGAAGGGAGTTTGTCATAAGGGGTTCCAATTGCTTTCATAAGGGGCCTTTGTTGTCTCAATTTTCATTGCTTGTTAGTGAATGACCGCTTGTGCAGTGGAAGGCTTTGCTTTCTTGGACTATTTTTGGGAGTGAACTTTCTGGATCTTGTGAGGGCTGCTTCTTTTGCACTCTCTTCTGGGGACACCTCTCACATCCATGGTTGAACCATAAAGGCTTATTTGTTTAGTGGATGTCACGTCTGGCTTGAAATGCTTCCCCTATCCAATATCGTAAGACCGACACCTATTGATAAAGTCCTGATAGAAGCTATGATTAGAGACATAAGAGTTGATGGAATTCAGATCAAATTTTGTAGGAAAATCGATACATTTACTGGCTTTATGTGAAGTGATTGCATCTCTTTTTGCCTGAATGTATTATAGATTGTATTGTGGGGACAGATGTTGTGTCTCACTGGGGAACGTTTCCGCTGCCTGATTGTAAGACAGGATATAAATCTTCCCTTCAGACAATCTTAATTAAACATACTGAAGGGAATTCCGTAGGGTTGCCTGAGTTTACACAGTAGGAGATAGAAACTAGAAGCTAATATCAGGTGCTAATAAAAAAGATAAAAGATTCCACCCCAAGGTAATTTGGTTGAGGGTTAAATCATACACTTAGAAAGAGGGACTTTGTTATTAAACACTTTGTTCAGACTTTTTAAAGGTGTAATACATTGTCTGGAAGTTTTAGAACATAAAAATCTTTTGATTTACCTCTTAAGTTAAAAATTTCCCTGATATAAAGAAGCAATTGGAAAAATGTAGCTGTAAGGATGGGTCAACCTCTTTTCTCATTCAGACTGTAATCCAGTTCTTTGGGGGAACTGGAAGCAACCGTCTTCATCTTGCAAGTCTCTACAAGGCCAGAGGTATGGCTCTAGAAAGAAGCTCAAAGTTCACTTGTCCTTTTACCAGTCCCAAAGCCTCCCCTTTTCCTCTCAGAAGGCTCCTAGATATTGAGACAGTAGAAACTGATAAGGCAAATATGTCCCAGAAACCCCATGTTGAAGAAAACTTGACTGCTTTCTCTGTGTCTATATGATGTAAATTTTCTCTTCCCATCTTCTCTAGGACCTGAGAGCCATTCTTTGAAATGCAAATATTTCTCATAAACTTGTGACTTTTGTATTGCACTTGATTCATTAAAAAAAATTAACAAGCCATAAGGTCTCTGTCTGTGTCTACCTGTGTGCCCATGGATGTCTATACGTAAATGTTGAAAATCTGAGATAATTTTCTACCCCTGGATGGTGTGGCCAAAATTAAAAGCTCTGTTTAATTGACGTAAAGTAAGTGCTTATGTTCAGTGTTTCTAAATGTAATAAATGGGCCGTTTCACAACATTAACCTTGTGTTTACAACCATTGAAGATAATGAAACTCTATGAGTCCACATTAGTATTCTCAGTCAAGAGATGATGACAGTCGGGGTCCCTGGACGTTCTTCAGAAAGGGCTGTTTAAAGAGCTGACCAAGCCCAAGATTTATCAGGTTTGGGAGTACTTCCTTTTAAAGAACATGAGAAGACACCATTGAGTGTCCATTCATAAGCCCAGAAGTAATTCAGAGAATAAAACTAAGGTGTACAGTAAAGGGATTATGAGAATTGGTTTGGAGAAAAAGAGAAGATATTGAGTATGATTTGTCCTAGGGATGTGTGCTAAGTCAAGAAATATGAAGATTTGAGAATTAAATCTATTATTGGCATTGGTGCTGGTGGTGCTATGGTTTCTTAAGTGGGGAACATAAAACGATACATTGGTCTGTGGGTTAGAACGAATATTTGTATTTGTTTTATTGCATATTTTTAAATGGTTTATTTTTGTGTATGTTTTGTAATATACACAAAGCATTTCTACCATAGTTCATGTAAATTATTACTTCATAATAAATAAATGTACATATATGGTGGGTTTATTCGTGCATTAAATAAAGCCAAGGAAATTTTGAAAAGAAAGCAAGAAAAATTGTTTACCATAAAGCAAGAATTATTATAAAGCTATATTCTTAAAATACTGTGTTCCTGACACAGGAATAGACAGAATAGGGATTTGGCCCCATTTGTAAAGGTGAAGTTGTACATACACAGTGACTCTACCTCTAGCTGTTTCCTTAGAGAACCTGTCACCCATAAGTGGACACATACAGTGAAAAGAGGAGAGAGAGCAAAAAGGGCTGTGTGAGCCTCTGGAACCTTAGTTATCACAGGGTGGCGATGAAGAACAGAGGGGGAAATGATGGAGTAGTCAACAATTTGGGGGAGAAATTGGATCTGCACATTCAGATTCCTACCTTACCCCCATACACGAAAATTCAATTCAAAGCAGATCAGAGAAAAACTTTACAGAACAAAGCTTAACGCTACTAGAAAAATATAAATGAGAATACGTTTATGCTTCAAGGTTAGGAATAAACTTTCATAAAGCTGAAAAATAGTTAAAGTACACCGTCCTCGGTACAGTAGAGCCAGTTAAAGCCGGTTCATTTCGTGAATAATTCTTCTTGCCTGGGGTCACAGAAGCAAGAAGGAACTGGAGTTTCCACTTGTGGTTCTGGTGGGATTGTCTTGGGGAAATGTGATGACTTGTTAGAGCAGCAGCATCCAGGGTGCAATAAGAGAGGAGGGCTTGTGTGTTGGCAGGAAGCCCATGAGCACCTTTCTAGAAAGCATTCTTGTGTCAGGCTGGGGACCAGGCCATCTCAGAGGGAGACAAGTCACCCTATCTGTCCCTGCTGGGGCAGCAGTTCTTACAAATCAATCTGAATAAGAATCAGTGTGGAGGTCTTTGAAAAATACACACTTTCAGCCTTCATCCTAAGAGTCATATTTATCGTGTCGAATGTTACCTAGAACCTTTGTTTTTATTCAAAGCTCCCAGGTCCTTCTGATGCAGGTGGTCCATGCATCAGTTTGAGAAATACTCTAGGAGCTTGAACTCTAAGCTAAAAGTTAATTGTTCTGGCAGAAGCTTGGAAGATCCAATACACAAGAGACCATACGCAGGTGAATCTGGCATTTCTGTACTTCAGGATTAGTTTTAATCCTTAAACCTGGCCCAATTATGGCAGCCACAACCTTTTCCTATACAACTTTTCAGTTCAAATATATACTCCTTGTTTTCTGATTGTTTGCTGAAAGTGTCCTTTAATTGTAATTATTGAGAAAAAAATAATCTGATAGACTCATTCCAGTTTAGGAGTTGGCTGTGTTGATGTTGGGGGAGGGGTGAAAGGAACAGTTCTGGCTGAGGCTGAACTTCAAAAGAAGCTGTGAGCAAAACAATGGTTGGCATCTCTACAACAACCACTTTATTCCTACACTTTCACTGTCTCAACAGTGCCATGATTGGTTATGATGAGGGAAATATCAGTTTGTCCAAAAGATAAATCAGATACCAGCCTGAGGTCTTCATAAAGCCCAAAGTCTTCATTCCATCATTTCTCATTCTCCTGAGGAAGGCAGGAGCTCCTTTCCCAGCCATCTTCTCTGGGAAATGATTGGAAAAGTGATTAGGTAGCACTAGCCTTCCCAGATTGCTCTCCTAAATGTCTCTCCGAACAAGTAAAACTCTAGGTGACCTTGTCTGTCCCAGGAAGCAGATTGAATGGACTCCACCAGCTCCTAGGAGAGAGGAAAGAATGTGCTGTCTGCAGACTGCTTGCCTAAGGCCTGGAGATGGGAGACCCATTTTTATGAATGTGCTACGGCTCCTGGTGGGGGAGGGAGGCCAGTGGGATAAAAGGGTGGGAGTTGGGCATTGAGCTCAGGGTCTCTCTTTGTTCAGAGTACAGCGAAGTCAGGGCAGGAAGTGAGGCACGGGCTGGTCTATCCTGTGTGGCAAGGCTGCACTTGGCAGCCACAAACAATATTTTCAGTGCAGAATAGGGGAGGTCTGAATCACTGTGCTCCTCCCAGACAGCACAGTAATACACACCAGAATCCCTTTCTTCCAGACTTCGGACTTCAATATTACGGTTCTTGTCTGTGCCTCCAAAAGTATGGTATTTCCCTGAACTAATTCCCGGATCTGTCATCAACCTTGAGTATTGGTAATGGTAGTACACAAGTCGTTGTAGGGCTATCCCCTCCTGGTATCGGTACCAGTGGACGTAGGTTACACTTTGTTTAATATCACAAGTGAATTGAACAGATGACCCAGCCTGTCGGATGATTGGCTTCTGTGTCCCTTCCAAGTTGGAAGATACCTGAGTGGCTGCAAAGGGAATAAGGAAAAGTAATGAGGAAGAAGTAATAGGAATACAAGAATTCCTTAGTATGGCCTCCCAATACCCCCAAGAAAGAGAAAAATCCCGGGAGCATGGAGGCAGCACACTTACCAGGAGCCAGGAAAGCTAGAAGGAGGGCGAGAGCCCGCAGCATGCCTTCCTCCTCGGGCCTTAGAAGGAAAGGGACAGACGACAGGAGGGGCAGACACCCTCTCACACTCCAGTCCTGCTCCGAAGACAGGGAGCCCAGGACACAAGGACAGAGTCACAGGCGGGCTCTGCACAGCTGTCACAGGCGGGCAGAGACTGAGGGGCTCTCCTAGAAGACCACCCAGCTGATGACCCAGAGTGGGTGGGGCTGGGGGAGGCCTGGGGAGGAGCCTGCCTCTCTGCTCAGCCCATTTCCTGAAAGCCTCCTGGGGAGGCTGAGAGCAGGCCCTCTGCAGAAGAGGAGGAGCCAGGAGCCCTGAGAGCCCAGAGCAGAGGGAGGGACAGCCTGAGCCCATGGAGGGGGCTGGAGAGCCGTGGATGCAGCTCCATGTCCCCTGGTGCAGGGAGCGGTCCTGAGTCAGGCGACTTCCCTGCAACTCAGGGTTCAGTGTTCCCGCTGCTGCCATGGGCTTGTCCTGCGATGCAGCTTCTGTATTCTCACCCTGACCCACCTTCCTTTCACATCTGTCAGCAAACTGTGAGGCACCCACAGCAAAGCTGACAAGCACTGAACTCGCTTCAGTAAAAGATTAAGGTCAGTTATATTGGTCTACATTAGACTCTCCTCAAAGTCAAATGGATGTGTGTGTATATGTCGGTGTGTGTCTGTGTGTACACGTCTGTGTGTGTGTGTGTGTGTGGCAAGTCAGTTCCTTAGAGGATTTCTATTCATCCTCAAGTAAAAGACCACCTCACATAGGCTTTCCAGATTTCATGAATAAAAAAAATGCAGTGCTCTATCCAATATTTGGGCTACACTTGGCCTAAAAAACTGTTTGTTGTTTATCTGCAATTCAGATTTCCGTGGGCATCCTGTGTTTTCTTAGGCAGCCCTCCCCTCAGGAAGTGCGCCCATATCTGCAATTTACTTGGATTCACAGGTGGGTAGATAGGTGATCAAACAAGAATAGTGAATTCACAGGAGAACTGAAGCGATGTCTACACAGATTTTCACCCCCAGTTTTATAAATGTATTTTTTTTTTTAAGATTGACATCTGAGCTAATGTCTATAACCAGCCTTCTTTTTTTTTTCCTTCTTCTTCCCCCTAAAGGCCCCCAGTACATAGTTATACATTCTAGCTGTGAGTGCCTCTGGTTATGGTACGTGGGACCACACCTCAGCATGGCCTGATGAGCATTGTCATGTCCCCACCCAGGATTCGAACCTGCGAAACCCTGGCCACTGAAGTGGAGCGTGCCAACTTAACCATTCGGCCATAGGGCCTGCTCCTATAAATGTATTTGGACACATTTACAATATTCATAGTAGAATGTAGAAAAATGCCTCCCCCATCATTGTTCCGGCCTCTCTCTCAGGTGGTTCATTTTCTGCCGTCCTAACAGACAGTTGGGAAAGGAGGAGGGGAGGGGACTTGGGCTGCTCTTCCTTCTGCCTTGGGGACCACACTGGCAGGGACATGAGGTGTTGCAGCACCTTTGCAAGAGAATGTGCCAGGTCGCTATGCAGGAAGCAACTCAGTGCTGTGGAGTCCCAGCACATCCCTGCTGGACAGGATCTTGGTTTAAAGGTGAGAAAGGAGAAAATGCTATCACACTAGAGTGGAAAGAAAATTCTTTAAAAAGGAATAACAAAGTACCCCACTAGAATGTAAAAAGAACTATAGAGCTGCAGTAATAGAAACAGGACACCACTGTCGCCAGAATATATCCATGGAACATAATGTACCCTGAGAGAGAGAGAGAGAAGGAAAGAAAGAAAGAGAGGAAGATAGAGAGAAGAAAAAGAAAATATTAAATTACATCCTCTAAGCCTAGTGTTGCTAGTGATAATTATAATATTGTTTATATTATACTTGTATGAATTTACATTGAAAATTTAAATCCACATTTTTAGAAATGCGGATTTAAAAATTTGAAATTTTAATAAAAACCCTATGATCTATAACTGAAACCTGTTTTTTCCTAAAAAAAATACTTACTGTTTTTAGCTATCTACTGAAAAAACTAGAAACCAATAGCCATCTAGCAGTAATGAGCTCTCCCAGCGTCTGTCCTGTGGCTTCAAATACCATTTTTCACTGAAAGACTAGGGCTCAATTATGAAATGGCTGAATCCAGGACTGGGAAGGAGATGGACGAGGTCAAGGACATCTCATCTCGCCTGAAAGCAAAGAAGCCACGAGAGACAACTGAGGTCACATCACAGGACACAGGAGCCAACTCACAGAGTCTCTCACTGGGCACAGAGAAGACAATGTGAGCGCAAAGAGAATAACACCTATGCAAGCATGTTAAAGACACAATATATAAAAACACACAGGCTCACTGATGAGACTCAAAATTAGTATGTCAACTGTGGGGTTGCAATGGCACCATCGCATTGTTCTGAAAAGGGAAATAAAGAAGAATCAAACATTTCCCTTGCCTTTTCTGTACAAACTTTTCTTCAGGATACGACAGAGCTTATGAATGAAAGTTCTTCTTTATGGGAGTATTACAACCAGTAAATGCAGGAGACATATTAAACTTGGGAAATTACCGTCACCCAGCCGTAACGATGTCCTGGACTGGACAACTACCGTCAATGGCTGTACAGCTCTGCCCCGTGCACTGGCTCTCGCTCTACCATTCTATGTCTCTGTCTCCCCCCTCTGCCGTCTCCATCACTCTTTATAGCCCTCCATCTCTCCATTGCTAGGTCCACACTCTTTCTTTTTCTGTTTTCTGTTCTTCATCCCTCTCTGCTTTTCTCTCTATGTCCCTTTCCAGCTCTGTCTCCTTCTCCTTCTCTACTTCTCTTTATCACTCTTCTTTCTTTCTCTTTCTCCTTATCTCTCTATATTTCTGTCTCTGTATCTCTCTATCTTTACTATCTATCTTTCTTTTTCTATTTCTTTACTTATATCTTTGTTATCTGTGTTACTTTCTCTCTCTCTCTTTCTTTCTATTTCCTCCCGTGGTCATAACAGCTACTTTAAATTCTCTGTTATCCCAACCAAGATTGTCATCTGTTAATGGCTTTTCCATTGTGAGATGTTGAGATTTTCCTGGTTCTCTACATATTGAGTAATTTTGGTTGTATTCTGCACATTTTGAATGTTGTGTTAGGGGCTTTAGGCAGTGTTTGCATACTATGGGGGATATTGAGTGTTTTGTTTGTAGACAATTGACCTAGTTAGGGGTTGCAAATTCCCATCTGCTGTTGGTGGGCAGTTCCAATCGGTGCAGCTTTCAAAGGCTTTGTAGTGCTACTCAGATCTGTCCTGTGTGAGCGCCACCCAGTGGTAAGTCTAGGACCAGGGCCATGGTTTACCCCTAGATTAGTTTGCGAAACCAATCGTAGGATATTTAGGGTCATATCTATGTCTGCACAGCGTGGGTAAACCCAGTTGTTCAAACACCATTGTGTGAGATTTCTTTCTCAAACTCTCTCCTCTCTGCAATCTCTACAACACTTTCCAATTCACAGGGATCCCCCATTCCTGTACTCTGGCCAGATAAGTGGGACTTTAGCACACTTTCTCTGCTGTGCATTTCCTGCAACTGTGTCTGCTTTCAGGGCCAAGCAGGGAGAGGATAAAGAGAGGACAAAAGCCACTAGGATTCTCTTCATGCTCAGAGACCTCAGAACAGGGGTTATAGTTGCATTCCATGAGAGAAACAGGGTCAAATGTGCTTTGTGCAAATTTTCCAGCCTGGAGCTCACTCCTTGCAACGTGAATTCACAGCTCCTCAATCAAGAAGTGCAGTTTATTTCCCCAGTTTTTGAACTTGGGAGAAAGTTATGGGGATCCAGTTCTGATTCTAGGCCTGAAGAGGCCTAATGCACTTCTGCTCACTCTCTTGGATCGCCACCATTGTCGTGAGAACAAGTCCAGGCTGGCCTGCTCGAGGATGAAATACCACGTGGAACGGAGCTGATTCATTCCAGCCCAGGCCACCTTGACCGGCCAGACCCCAGCCAACCCATCAGCTGACCAATGTGACCAAGTCCAGATGAGCTGAGCCCGATCCAGGTCAGCAGAACAGCCTAACCAGTCAATTGGCTTGTGAGGATTAATAAATGATTGTTGTTTTAAGCCACTATGTTTTAGAGTGTTTGTTATAAAGCATTGTTTTCCAATAAGATAGATAGATAGATAGATAGATAGATAGATAGATTTCTTGTTAGTACCATTGAGTCAATTCCAACTCCTAGCAACCCTGTGTCAGCAGAGCAGAACGCACCCAGTCTTTTCGTGCCATCCTCCCATCCTCCAGCGCTATATCGCACAAGGCTCCACTACTATACATAGGGTTTTCATGCGCAATTTTTTAGAAGTTGTTGGCCAGGTCCTTCTTAAGGTAAATAAACAGATAGATAGATATAGGTACATAGAAAGAGACTATATATAAAGAGAACAAGAAAGTTAGAAATTATATAATGCATAAGACAAAATATATACATATACATGTAAGTAAACAGGTATCAATATAGCAATATACAATTTGTAACAATGTGTTTATAAATATATATATATATACATCTAACTTTCTCTCTTCCTATCAATAATTACCTCTGTTTCTGTATATCTATCTTCCTAACTCTATCACATTCAATGTGCCCACATGTATCCTTTATCTCTATGGCTCTGTCATTCTCTCTCTCTCCCTCTATTGCCAATTCTTTCTTATTCTAACATTCCCTACATCTCTATCTCTGTCTCTGTATGTCTACCCTTCTCTCTCGCCCTCTCTATTACTGTATTCATATCAAAGCCTCTCTCTACGCTCTGTTCTTTTTTTCTCTCTATCCGTCTTTCCTCCCTCTCGGCATCTCTCTATTTCCATTTCTCTATCCCTCTGTCTCTGTCACTGTCCCTCTCTTGTCTCTTTATTTATTTCTCTGCTATTATATCTCTCTTATTCTGGGTACAGAGATCTGTCCTTCTCAGTGTATGATTCTCTCTCTCACTAACTCTTTTTATCTCTGTATGCCAGTGTCTCAGTCACTCTCTCTTTTTCTCTCGCTCCCACTCTGCTCGGTATCCCTCTCTCTCTCTGTTTCTATGACTAATTGCTGTGCCTCTGTGTGTCTCTGTAGATTCCTCTCTCTCTCTCACATTGACCTCTCTCCTCCTTCTCTCCCTTTCTTTCCATATCTTC